AAAAAAAAAAAAAAAAAAAAACAAATGGGAGGGGGGTGGGATTGGCAGTTGAGGAAAACTGCTAGGGGAGGGAAGGGCACACCTCAACAACAAGGGTACCTGCATATTCACCGTTTGTATACCTAATCCTGAATTGTACCCCAAATCTTTAAATAAAGTAAAAAACAAATTGAAAAAAAGCAAATTGGTCTTTTGTTTTCTAGAAAGAAATATGTAAAATATCCTAATCACTACTTTTATCATTTTACCACTGCACATGGAAAGGTATTCAACAAATAAAAGATAAAAATATAACTGAGAACCGGGCTCGGTGACTCAGCCTGTAATCCCACGCCTTTGGGAGGCTGAGGTGAGTGGATTGCCTGAGCCCACGGGTTCGAGACCCGCCTGGGCAGCGAGACCTCATCTCTATAATAAATCAAAAAAATCAGCCGGGCGTCGTAGCACGTGCCTGTAATTCCGGCTACTTAGAAGGCTGAGGCGGAAAGATCTCCGGAGCCCAGCAGGTCGAGGCTGCGGTGGCCGGGAGCGGCCACTGCACTCCAGTCTGTGCGACAGAGTGAGACTCCAACTCAAAAAGAAAAAAAGGGCTGGGTTCAGTGGCTCTTTTTGTAATCACTTTGGAGTGATTTTGGGAGACCGAGGCGAGTGGACTGTCTGAGCCCACGGGTTCGAGACCATCCCGGGCAACTTGGCGGGACCACATCTCTACAACAAATTAAAAAAAATTAGCCAGGAGTGGTAGCGCACACCTGTTGTTTCGGCTACTTGGAAGGGCTGCAGTGGAAGGATTGTCTGAGTCCAGCAGGACAGCACTGGTGCGGCAGTAAGTGTGCCACTGCACTCCAGCCTGGGCGACAGAGTGAGACTCCAACTTAAAAAAAAAAAGTTATAGGCCGATGTGGTGGCTCACACCTATAATCCTAACACTTTGGAAGGTGGAGGCGAGAGGATTGCCTGAGCTCAGGGGTTCAAGACCGGCCTGAGCAACATGGCGAGACCTCATGCCCACGATAAAAAAAAAAAATTTTTTTTAAATCAGCCGGGTGTGGTGACTCATGGCTGTGGTTCCAGCTACCTGGAAGGCTGAGATGGAAGGATCACCTGAGCCCAGCAGGTTGAGGCTATGGTGGCCGTGAGCATGCACTCCAGACCAGGTGACTCCAACTCAAAATAAATAAATAAATAAAGGATATGAATAAAGATCTCTCCAAAGCTGTATGAAGGGTCAATATGCATATCAAAAATGCTCAACATTGTTACCCATCAGAGAAATGCATATCTAAACCACAAGGAGTTACTACCACACACTCACTAGGATAGTAATTATCAAAAAGAGGGACATCTGTCAGCCTTAGCACCATCTTCTTAGAAAACTCTGCATCAAGACAGTGAAGTGGAAGAAGCGGATGCACAGGCAAAAGTGCCAAAGAAGAAAGATGAGGCAGAGGTCCAGGCAAAGCACTATCTCGTGCACCCACAGAGACCACCGGAGCAGAAACATGGAATGCCAGAGGCTCAGGATGGGGCACAAGTTGTTGGACTGCACACTGTCTAACTTGTTTCTCAATGGATCTAGAACCTCATCTCCATCCGAATGTCAAGACCACATCTGAGAGAGCCACCTTCCTCCTACCAAAACAGTCCCTGTTGGTCCTTTGCCCTGGACCTGTGACATCTTGGACTAGTTCTGTGTTGAGTTGTGGCCGGTGTAACAAATGTACAATGAACCATCTCTTCTGCTGTCTTAGCTAAAGAATAAGAAATAAAAACTAAATTGACCGGGCACTGTGGCTCACGCCTGTAATCTAAGCACTTTGGGAGGCCACAGCGAGAGGATTGGCAGAGTCTACAGGTTCGAGACCAGCCTGGGCAACATGGCAAGACCTTGTATCTACAAAAAATCAAAAAACTAGCTGGACGTGGTGACATGCACCTGTAGTTCCAGATATTTGGAACACTGAGGCAGAAGGATCACCTGAGCTCAGCAGGTCGAGGCTGCGGTGGCTGTGAGCGTGCCACCTGATTCCAGCCTGGACAACAGAGTGAGACTCCAACCCCAAAATAAAAAAGAATGAAGTACTGATTCATGATACAACATGAACATATTACACCAAGTGGAAAAAGCTAGATTCAAAAGTCCACATATCACAGTATTCCATTTATATGAAATGTCCAGAAGAGGCAAAACCATGTAGACAGGAAGTAGATTCGTGGTTGCAAGGAGTTGGGTGATGGAGGGATAGAGAGTGACCACTAAGGGATACAAGGTTTCTCTTTGGGGAGATGAAAATGTTTTGGAATTGCGTGGTGATAAGGGCTGCACAACTCTGTAAATATAGTAAAACCCACTGCATGGTACACTTATGGTATACGAATTACATCTTTTTAAAAAAAGGAAAAATAACTTGGAAGGAATGACCCCACTATCTTCAATAGACAGAAAATATAGTTAGGGTTCTTCAAACACATTTCTAAACATTCTAAACATTCTTCTACTCTGAAGATCCCAGCTCACTGAATTCTTCTTACTTTCAAGAACCTCAACAACAAAATTCAGCCCTCCGTAACTTTCCTATTATATAATTATCCTCTTCCTCCCATATTTCAAAAAACTTCCCCCTCCATTAGCTATTTCTCTGTGTCTATAACAAGGTTCAAACATGTCCCAGAGGTGTGTGTGTGTGTGTGTGTGTGTGTGTGTGTGTGTGTGTGTGGGTGTGTATGTTTTTAAGGCCTGGTCCTAGCTACCCACACTTCTAGATGCCACTCTGTACCCCTCCCTTTTACCCGGAACTTCCTGAAAGACTATTCATGTGGACTCACGCCTCCATACTGGCATGCCTACTCACGCCTCAGTCCACTGCCAACGCTCAACACTAATTCCTTCAAGTGAAATTATCCTGAAAATTGCCACTGACCATCATAGTGCCAAATGCCCTGAACACAGTCAGTGTTAATCACACTGCCATGCCCATGATATTCCGACGGCTGACCATTCATTCTTTAACAGACACACTGTTTCCTCCATGGGTATCCGCAAAATTACTTTCACTGATTCTCTGTATGTCTCTCTTCTTGGCCTCTATGATCTCTTTCTTATACATGTCTTATTAGGTGTTCTATCTTCTGTCTACAGTAGTGATTTCTGTCTACAATAGTGATTCCCAAATCTACACGTTATCTCCAGTCCCTTCGTTTCAGACTCATATACACAACAGCTTTCTGGATCCATTCATCTGGTTGTACTTCAGACACCTAAACTCAAGCATGTTGAGATTCTTCCAGGCACACACTGTATCTTATTCAGAGTTGTAGGCACAGTACATGGCATATGATAAGAACTGACTAAATGACTAAATGTTGAATGTCCAAGAGTAGAACTCGTCATTTCCCACAACTCCACCCTAAAACCTGCTTCTCCTAGACTTCTGATCCCAGTTAATGACACCAGCATCCACCTAGTCATCTAAATCAGAAACCGTGCAGTGGAGTCCCAAGCCCAGGGTTCTTCAGAGGCCAACACAAAC